GGCATGGATACTTCAGATCTTAAAAAAACCCGCAGTCGCACGTTCTGTCCCTTAGATTTACTCTTAACGACATAACTTCAATCCCTTGAAGAGGTCGCGGTAACTCTGTGACACGAAACATTTCATGCCTTCTTGAGAAGCTTGTTACAGACATTCCATTTGATGCAGCAATTTTTTTCTGTAGATCTGTAACTAATCTAGGGTGATAGACATGACCGCCTTGCATCCATATTTGAGCTTGTCCCCCCGAGCTTCGTAAAAAGTGCCCCCAAACAAAAATATATAGTTTTTACCAAACCCGCTACAGGTAAGTGACGTGCACCCTTTAAGGTTGAATTGATTGCCTCAGCCAAGTTGGTCGTCGTGTGTCCATATCGATATCCACCATCATATGCGTTCGTCCACATTTCTTTATCGATGAGGCTGATGTAATCGTATCCTTCCTCGTTCTTCGCCCACAAATCTTAAAGCATTGATTCAAACGTTCGAGGAAGTAGTTCGTAACCTGATCAAAAAATGTATAACTTACTAACTTGCTTTCTTTGCAAAATTAAAATGATCAAAAAATGTATAACTTACTAACTTGCTTTCACTTACCCATGCACACAATTAATTGACGCTCATCATTCTTCTTGTACCTTCCATGATAGTTCGCAATAATGTGTCGGAGACAATACCTATGTTGGACAAAGGGTGGTTGCCACATTGGACCCAAAGACTCCATTGCTGCTTTGATCTCAGCTCTGCGATCTGAAATGACACATATTTTTTCCCTCGTGATAACATGTGCATGTAAATTTCGGAGGAAAAAAGTCCAAGAATCTGTATCTTCTCATTCGACAAGAGCAAAAGCAACTTGAAGAATGTTGCGATTGTCATCTTGGACAACTGGCAATAATAAAACTTGCTTGTGTTTTCCATATAAGAAAGTCTCGTCGATATGGACCACAGACTTGCAGTATTTGGCAGCATTAACGCACTGAGGGTAACTCCAAAAAACCCAGTAGAATTGGCATCGATCGCGAAGAACTCGATCATGCATAGGAGGTTTCGAAGTCCACAATTGTCCCAGGATTCAACATTCGCACCAGCCTAAACCAACCTGGAAGTTCGTTGTAAGATGCATCTCATTTGCCATGAGGTTTGACAATGGCATTTTGTTTTGCCAACCAAGTTTTTTTATAGGAGACGGTGTACCCATACTGCGATTGTATAGCTGAAATCAACACTGCAACAACTATATGAGAGCTTGCTTTTACCATGGGCATGATGGCTTGGCATATCACTTCAGAGTCCAAGTTGGGATGATCTTGGTTGACCCCTCCAACACAATATGTGTGAGGACCGTTGTATACTGTTAGTTCCCATATATTATTTTTCCTCTTTATTTTCGATACGCGAACCATCCAATTGTATCCGTTTTCGTGTCGGGCACAGTAACATACATATTTTTCGGTCGTCGATCGGTTGACTCTGGACTGAACAAAATTACGGATATTGTAATTTTTGATAGCCATCATCGCTTCTTCTTTGCTTGAAAACTCCATGCCTAAAGATAACTTACCATTATTTATTGATGAGTAATATCCATAGTCACTGAGATGAGGCATATCTGCAAATTCTGGCCCGTACATTGCACCATAATCAGCTTCATACATGTGTGCAGGAGGGTCAGTTTGTGCCACATTTCCTGGAACTTCATCATCATCGGAGTTGAATTGCGGTGACTCTGGGTGAATGAATAGTCCAGTCTCAGCACCATCTGCATCAGGCTCACGAAGCGGTTCTTCTGGTGGAGATGATGGTTCCTCCATGCTCTCCACATTTAGGTCGAAGAACCTACTACTACTTGCACGCCTTCCCCTTGAACTGGAAGGCATATCGACATTGAGATCGAAAAAGCTCGCAGTCGAATGCCTCCCCTGGAGCTTGAAGCCATCGTGTCAAATGGAAACTGCACAGATGGTTGCGTCGATGGCATCTACATATGGTCAAAGAAATTTGCAGATGAATGCCTTCTCCTTGAACTGGACGCAGTGTTACCATACGGATTGTTCGTGGACCCACCTTGATACATATCGTAAGGAGTTGCGGATGAATGTCTCCCCATTATGGCATTAAATTCATTACACATTACTGTAGTCAGGCTGTCAACTTGATCAACTTGTTCAGCCAGCCCATAGTGTGAGCTTAAAGATTAACCCCGAACAGCACGCACTTAAACAAAATGTGCATACATCTCAATAGCGGCGTCTGAATAATTACTTTGAGCTTCAACCATCATTTGAACATCATCATTGTTCGAAAGTTCGAACGTTGTATAAGTTAATGGCAACAATGATGTTGGAAATCTGTACTGCAACGACGACTTTCTTTTGTTACTTCCAACATGAATCTTCCTCGAAATCTTCGTTATTAGCTCCTCAAGAGTTATGTTTCTCTTGAATGATATTTTAACATGCTCATTTGATACGAAAACAACGCCAGTTTCATCTTCTCGAATTTCAGCATCATAATAAACAATAGTTGAAAGTCACACCATTCTTTGAGTTTAAAAGTGCGGCAATAATATAATTTTATATTATTACATGCACCGTAAAACTATTTCGACGTATGCTCCCGCTTTTCAATTTTACAAACATAAAAATTAATTAAAAATAATTAGTATAATATTTTTTCAAATAATGATAATAAACAATAAGTATAATTAAAAAATTATAACAAAATTACCTTATAATGAAAAATCGTACGAACTTCTAAATCAAATATAAGAAGATTGCCAGAATTATTACTCGTTGACGGAATTGTTGTATTAATTTATAAGAGAGGAGAGATGCGAGGAGAGATGCGAGAACCGGAGGTATTTATAAACATATAAGGAGCGGTACCTGCACCGCGATATATGTAATTATTATATAGCGCGGATCAAGGACCGCGTTAAATATAATTTTGGTACGACGTATAGCGCGGCCCCTGATCCACGCTATACCCCTACGTGGCGTATAGCGCGGAGCAGGGGGGTGCGCTATACCCCACGTGTAACCCAGTCAACGTATAGCACGGTACAGGGGGGGCGCTATACTCCACGTGGTGCCAAATCAACATATAGCGCGGTTCAGGGGGAGCGCTTTACTGCTACGAATGTTAGATCGGGAAATATAATCTGACCGGTATTAGATCGGTATATATACTGATCACCGGTGATTTTTGAGGAAAATCGCCTACATTTCACTTCCATAAAATGTATAATTATTAATTATTATCGACCATTTTAAAGGAACTATAAGTTAGGTCCTTTAGTATAATCAGTAGGACATACTGAGTTCAAATCTTAATATTATAAATAAATAAAAAATGAGTTGAAATTGTTATTTTATAATAAATTTTCGATCTAAATTGACTGATTAATATGTAGAATATGAATAATGTTACTATAAATAGAAAATAAAAGTATTTAAAATTATAATCTAAAAATGAATATGCAGTCAAACTTAATACCTATTTAATATTTAAGTAGAAATTGTGTTAATAGAGTTAATGCTTTATAGACAATAATACTAAGTTTTCTTTATATTATTATTGGTATTTGATTTGGTATCTATTAATTTAAATTAAATATGGATTTACGGTGTAGCTACTACACTCTGATATACTCAATTCAATTTGATAAGATTCGAATTTTAAATCTTATTCGAATGGTTCAACGTCTTATCTTACTAGACCGACTTTATATTAATATTAAGTTTTAAACTAAACAATTAACTAGCAAATATAGATTGTTAATCCTAGTAGGCAGTGCAATTAAGGTCCAATTAACTACTGAATAGAGGTTGTCATGACTCATGAACAGTATTGGATTCAATTAAGGTCCAATACATGAGTAAACATTACGTGGTACAGTTATTATAAGATATATAATAATTAAAAGTAATTATATTAGTGTAAGTATTTTTTTATATTTTTAAAGAAGTAAATTAAAAAATAATAAAAAATTGGATATAAATTTTATTAAAAATATTATACATTATATATATATATATATTAAGTTATTTATTTAAATATAATAAATTAAAATATAATTATAAATTTAATTTAGTAACTTTAATAGTTGGTTAACTGAAAGTTTGTATATTTAATTATTAATCATCATTTTTGTGGTTTGATTAATTGAAATCGTTTAATATTATCGACATGGTTAATTAATTTATTAAATGTAATGATTATGATTTTCTCGAATACACCTATCAAAAATTGTAAAATTTCAAAGTGAAAAATTTCATTTCAATTTGATTAAAAAGTTTACGAACTTAAAATTATTAAAGCTCAATTCAAACTCAGAATAAAAAAATTCAAAAGTTCAACTCGATTAAAAAAAATTAACTTATAATCATTAAAATTTCGACTCTAACTCAAAATAAACTCAATTCAGTTTGATTCAAAATAAAAAAAAATTAAAGTTTGAAAAATTGAATTCAAAATATTTTTAGATTTACTTTAATTAAAATTTGAACTTGAATTTTAATTTTAATTTGAATGTTTAAACCTTAAGTATATGAAAAATTTATATTATGTATTTTTAAAAGTATGTATTTTATTTTAAAAAATCTATAAATCTAAAAAAAATTATTTCAAATTGTTAAGAATTCAAGTTTGAATTCGAATTAAGTCTATTTGATTTGAAAATTAATTATTTTTTGATCGAATCAATTTTGATTGATTTGTAATTTATCTCATCTTATCTACCATTCTAATTTTGGTTTTTTGGTTTTTTCATACCATTTGACAAGAAAAAAAATCTCTTCATAAAGTTGATATAAATTAAAAAAAAAAAGTAGCATTTTAGTGATTAAAATAGAAATGTGATTAAAGTTACATGATCAATGGTGTAGTTTATCAACATTTAAATAGAGGAGAAATAGTTTCCAGTGCTTGCCACGCAATTAAAGCTAGCAAAACTGCACTGCCATGCCGCCTTCCTCCCGCTTTTGGATCTCCAACCCCTAAACCCTCAAATTAACACGCTAGAATTTTCCATCTCTTTCCCGAGAAAGTTTAAAGGGGATTTTCAATCAAATGGCCACCAGACTCGCTCTCCGTCTCAGATCCCATCTCCTCCGCAATCTTCACCGTCAAAATCCCCCAGCTCCACCTACCTTTATATCTCCGCTGTCGATCTCTCATCTCTCGCCACCTCCAATCGCCGCCAACAGTCAATTCTTCACATACCCCACAATCCGCTTCCTCTCCACGTCCACGAGCCGAGTTCCCACCCGACCCAAAAAGGTCGACATCGGAACCCGAGCACGCCAGCTCCAGACTCGCCGCCTCTGGACCTACGCCTTAACCTTCGGTTGCCTTGGGGGATTTGTAGTTTTAGTTCTCAACAATTTTCAAGATCAATTAGTTTTTTACGTCACCCCAACTGATGCCCTCGAAAAGTACACGAAAAACCCTTCGAAAACGAAGTTCAGACTCGGCGGTCTGGTTCTGGAAGGAAGCGTGGTTCAGCCGGGTTCTTGTAAAGAAATGGAGTTCGTCATTACCGATTTGATAACCGATATTTTGGTTCGGTACGAAGGTTCGCTACCGGATTTGTTTAGAGAAGGACATTCCGTTGTTGTTGAAGGGTTTGTTAAGCCTTTTACGGAAGAAATTAAAAGGGACGTTTCGTCGAGGAGCGTATCTACGAAGGCAAGGAGCGGCGACTGTTACTTTTCGGCCACCGAGGTTCTTGCTAAGCACGACGAGAAGTATATGCCTCAAGAGGTTGCAGCTGCCATTGAGAAGAACAAGAAGAAGATTGAGGAAGGCCTGGAAGGAGCTAATGACCGACATTTTTCATATGGTAATATTTTGTAAACTTAATTCATTTTCATTGGAAATTTTGTAAAACATATCGGCTAAGATTGAACCATAGATTGGAGAATCAATTTTTCTAGTGGTATTATAATGAGAGGGCGAGGAATAGGATGAAATCAAAACACTTGAGGCATTTGTTTCCTTTTGATTCTGTTATTGTACTGCCACGATTGTGGTCTTTACTTACCTTGAATAATAGTGCATCCTCAAGAACTTACATTTTCTATTGTTTGATGGATACATTTTCTCTAGTCTCTTGTCATTCTAATGTTATTGCAGGCAAAGCAAAATGGGTTTCTGGCAGTTTATTTTGATTGGCCTTTGGATGATAGTGTTAGGCAATTACTGCAAATTCAGCTATGGGAACATATTGTTTGTTCATGCTAACAAGAATTGTCAAGCTCTTTTTATTTCTGCTAACAAAAAACTCATAGCCGGATAATGTTCTAGTTATCACCTTGTAGTTGGTATGTTCTATTATTTTGAGGATTCACGTTTCTATATGGAGGTTATGATTATCATTCATAATTTGAAACAGATTCTTTCATATTCTTGCTTTCTGTTTTGTTCAAAGTCGATTTCTTCTCTGTGATCATTTCCTTGTAATCTCTTTTGTATCTGGTGACAGTTCTTCCTATTTCTTTTGGGTGTATATAGATTGACAAGTATTGGATTTTGTTAAGTATTTTAGATGTAAAAGGACACAAGTATATTGACGAAGGTGGAGTGATGAGGATTAATAGGGACTCTCTCGTGGGTGGTAAAAGTATGTTTTGTATGATTCAATAATTTTAAATGATGCAATTGTTGTTTCCACTTTATTGTTGGGTGCTAAATTGAGAGGAAAAGGATTTTATGAAGAGCAAGATGAATTAAAGTTTTGTGAGCAACACGAATCGAACGACCTCAGTAGTAAAAAAATTGTTGTTATTCCTTAAGGTTTTTAGTTTGAGCACCATGAATGTCAGAGAATCCAAATTCGAATAATTGCCTCTGTACTGTGTATGTGTTATTAATAAACTAAGAAAAATTATAAACATATATTACTTTATAATCATTACAAACTATTTAAATAAATAAATAAAAATCAGTGGGAAAAGGAAAATTAATGTGGGACTCCCAAAGAATATATATTTTTATATTTTGGTCCCACTGCAATGATGAGAGTAATGGGTTTGAAGCAAATACAACTAAGCATGACTTTGTTGAAAACATCAGTCTATCTACTCCATATTCTAAGCTATCTTCATTTGAGTTTAATAAACTTGCATGGCATATTGCCAATACCATACCATACCATGCATTAATTTATTAATTTTTTTTAGATGAGAAAATGGGAGAGTATATATAGTTCCACCTACCAAATAAAATTATTTATTTAAGAGCTTAGTCTGAGAATATAAATATCAATATATATGCAAATTATTACTCGAGAACTAGTCGTGAAGCTTCTTTGAAATTAACTTGACAGAATTTTCTTGGTTTGAATTATTTAAAAATGATATGGTGGGCAAGAATATAGCTGATGGTGGTCATCATCATCATCATCATATAGCATATCATGGCATGTTAATGGTTATCGTGCCATACAATAATATGGATTTTTGTATGTTAAATCTAAAAATATATCATCATCGATTCTACCATCTGTATATATATATATATATATAAAGATACAGATATACATGGGAGAGAGTTGCATAAGAAGACAGACATACTCATTCTCAAATCTCATGTAATGACAGATCCGCATTAATAGGCTCACGAATTCTCATGCAAAACTTGATTTTTTTTTTGAATTAATAACTGATATCCGATCTATTGACTAACTAATCCACATCGGGTACTACAGAGGCGAGGGCGACCCTTCCAACCCAGTTTGCTCCATTTACAAACGTCAATATTCAAATCACTGACCTTCTTAAGGAACCTAATATCTTATCCCATTAGACCAACTGATTGTTGGTAAAAATTGGACCCTTTGATACAATATACCAATAATAATATGATAATAAGCAGATACTAAACGGTAAGAACAAATAAAGTAATTTTTTCTCAAAATAAATTTAAATAATATGTTTCAAATAAATTAAATTGATTATATTATTATTATTGATATAATGTATAAAAAATTATAAGACTAAATATACTAAAATATTTAATATTTTTATAGACACTATCTCACTCATCTTTTTAAATATTGATATTATCTTCATCAATGATTATACCTTGTAGACTCTAAATATGAATAACAAATAAAGGCATAATATCAAAAAAAAAATGCGACTCAAATTTTATTAAATAGTCTTTTGACCTCTTTTTTTGGAGTATTTTGGACCATAGCATTTTATTTTAGAGCAAAAAGATTTTTAATTGTCTCGTATTCTTTTTTGGAACATTTTGACCTGAAAATGTTTCATTACAGGAAAAAAGATACATATTTTGGAGCGTTGACCGTTTGTTGGCTAGTGTTTCCATGTATTGGGAATTTTTCCCCTGAAGTGAAATATTTTAGATCAATATATTTCAAAAAAATAAAAAGAAAAAAACAAAGGATCAAAGTAACTATTTAATCAAACATCATGATTTTTAATTATTATTATGCCTAAAATGAATATAAAAGATATAAAAAAATTTGTTGTTACTCGCCTTCAATATATTTATGTAAAAGGCTATTGAAATTTTATGAAAAATTATTTAATACATAAGACTTGTAAAATATAATTTACACAAATTTGTTTATTTAAATGTTAAATTCTAAGCTTTAACTCTTAAATCTTAAATAAATTAAGTTGTTTAAACCAAATTCCACACAATTCGTATATAAAATAATTTATCAAATTTTATTATTTTTATTTAATTTGCATGGTTGATGTAAGAACTAAGAACTTCACGTGCTTCTTGTAGCAAGTTGAAATATTACCACCCATGATGTGGGGGCATAGGTTGTCTTAGCTAGGTTTAGCTGTTCGGGACTGTCTTGTTTGGATTTTTCTCTCTCTCTCTCTCTAATTAATCATTGGAATCCGATTTATTGACCGAATAATCTAAATCGGATACTACTGAGGCGAAGGCGACCCTCCCAACCCAGTTTGCTCCATTCACAAAACGCCGGGATTCAAACCCCTGATCTTGTTTAAGGGACCTAGTTTCGCTCTCTCTTTTAATTGAGATCATGTGTGTATTGTAATTTCAACCGATATTACATGCAGGTCCTGGTCCAAATGATATGAAGGTCATGTATTACTTTTAAAAATCAGAATTTTAAAATATTTTATAACAAAGACAAATTTGTAAAATTTAAAATTGTGAAAGATCTACCGTGTTTATTTTATAAAGATTCATCATGAAAAAACGATTAAAGATATTGTTAAAATCTTCGTTTACAACTTTCTCTACCATTTTCTCGAGAATCAAAAGAAAAGTTTATTTTTCTTCCGAACGTAAATATCGCTAAAAACAAATATTATACATGGACGGACCTAAATGACATTTATGTATGGGATCCCTAAATTTCAAGACCCTATGACAGGTACATGTGTGAATATATAGTAAATATTAAAATTAGGACATAAAAGAACTAGGTGAAATTGGTTGTGAAAAGTTGAACCATAAATTCATATATGTTGGCAAAGGCATGGCGAGATCCCCGTGAACTATGATTGGAACGGCAAAACAACCCGTCCATGTCAATAACACGTGTGAAGAATGAACTAAGTCCCAACTCCTAAACCGATATAGTGAAAATATTCGATTATAATTTCACGTGAATAATAAATATTCGATTAGTTTAGTTATATAATTTTATGATCAATATAATGAAAATATTCGATTAATTTAAAAATTTGTGAATAATAATTTTAGTTATGTTAATATGTTCAATAGTTATTAGAATTAGGTTTTATTATACGAGTGAAAAAATATTTTACATAAAATTATATTTTATAAAATTTATTCATTAATTATCGTTTGGTCAAGTGCTAATGAAACACAAGTCTAATTTTATTTGTTTAATATTTAGTTGTTTTATCTAAAAATATATATGATTTATAAAAGCACAAAAATATTATTATAATGATATTAATTGTTATTTTTTTTAAATTTTATTATTATTATTTCTAAACTGAGTTGATATCCGAATAACCGATGAAATGAACTTAATCTTAAATATTATGACATTAAAATATATTAGTATAAATAAATTATGAGATGTGTTAGGTTGTCAAATTTGATTAGCTATTAAAAAAAATTAGTTATTGGGAAAATTATAAAAATAATTATTTATAATTTTTAAATTTTAAATTTTAAATTTACCATTGAATTTTTTACTTTTAAACCTTAAGTTATTTAATTTTCTCTTGACAAATCATAATTCTAATTCTAATACTACACAAAGAAGAAAGAAATAATAACTCTAAAAGAATGAAGATGAGTGCTCCTAATATATTTAGAACCAACGATAAAAGAGAATATAATTGGGGTAGATCCATTAAAGATCCAGGGTGGACATGTGCTCACATAAAAATTTGAATTTTATTCGGATGATTATATATTTTTAATAGTTGTGTCTATCCTATATACAAAATTTATGTGATTAATATATACATGTATTCGTCTTAAAAAATATTTTTGATCTGTCACTAAATATAACTGAACATATATAAACAATTTACTCAATACATTTATTCTTTGCTATTTAAATTATTATTATGTTTATTAAGCTAAGCTAATTATAAAATAATATTTGCTCTAAATACGTTCAATCATTTGATAATAAATGCTCAATTATCCTATTGTAGTCGTTAGTGCTCGAACTCGTGATATCTAAGAACAACAACGATTCCTTTAATCACTAAAATAAATTGATTTGTGCGTATATATTTTTTAATGTTTCTCTTATGTAATTGGGTACATAAATATGAGAACCAATAAAATGTGAAGATTCATTATTAGGTATATATGCATGTAGTGGTCCGATATCGAGTTGCCCGAGGAGGAGAGCAAAGCCCGTGATTCCCGTTGGAAAGCCAATTTCTTAATCTTTTTTTTTCAAAGTTTGGGTCTGCATCGGCAACAGCTGAGCATCACATTCACTCTCACATATCATGATGGACCG